TGTCTGGTTTGGTTAGTCTTTCTAATTGTTGGGGGCCTGAAGCTCCACACCCCTTCTTGTGAGACCGCTTCTCCTTGACAATCTGCTCAGATGGCCGTGCTTTACATGATAACTGCCTCGAAATCTTTATGCCAGAAACTGATTGCTCCTGGCTATGCAAGTTAATTTGCAAGTGACCTTTTATCCTTCTCTAGAAACTGTTTAACTATAAACATTCTGGGTGGCAACCTTTACTTTGAATGTCCTGTCTTTGTCTCTCCTCAAGATATTATCATATCTTTACATTCCAGACCCTTTGCAGCATGCCTGCCTTCTCCTATATAAGATGTAACCTAAGAATCAATAAACGAGACTTGATCAGAATACTGTCTTGTCTTCATTTCTCATGTCTCTTGTCCCATCCAATTCCCACTCCCCCCTCCAGGGTCTGCGTTGAATATCCCGCGGGTCGGGACAGGTTATCAAGGTTATACTGGCCTCATGGAATGAATAAAGAGTACCCTTATTTTATTCTTAGGAAAAACTTATATGAGAAAGGAATTTTCTGTTTCTTGAAAATTTGAGAAAATTTACACAGAAAATGATCTGGGCCTGGTGTTTTCATTGTGAGGAGTTTATAAACTATGACTCAACTACTTTAACAGTTATAGGACTATTCAGGCTTCTTATATCAGTTTTTAAAATGATACACTTAAAAAATCTAAATACCAAAGGAAAGATATATTTTACAAATACCAAAAAAAGGATATACTTTAAGAAATGTGTTTATTTCTTCTAAGTTTTCAAATCTATGATCTCTTTTTTATGATCTTTTTCTATGACCTCTTTTTTATTATCTTTTTCATTGATAATAATTTGTGTCTTTTTTTTCTTGATTTATCTCACCAGAGGGTTTTCTATTTTATTAATCTCTTTAAAGAATAAAATTTGGCTTTACTGATCCCTTTTATAACAGCTTTGTTTTTTAAAATTTCAGTAACATCTGCTCTCTATCTGGGTTTATTTTTATTTTTTTATTTACTTCTTCAACCAACTCCCAGCTCATTAATTTTCAACCTTTCTTCTGTGCTCATTTAAGTTTGGACATTTTCCTCTAAATCTTGCTTTCACTGTATCCCAAAACTTTTCATGGGTAGTATTTTCCTTATCGTTCAGTTCTAAGTATTTTTAAATTTCTGTTATAATTTCTTCTTTGACCCATGTGTTGTTTACCTAGGAGTGTGTTTTTAAATTTCCAAATGTATGGGGCTATTTTGTTCTTTTTTTGGTTTCTTATTTCTAATTTAAAAGCATTGGGAATGCTCCTGGGAAACCATCTCCACTTCACAAGGAAGCTAGGTGAGACTCATGACACTCCTTCCCACAGGCTGGTTCTGGCATACAGAACTTAACTCTCTACCAGACAACTCTAAAGCTGGACAGAACATGTGAACTGTTTCCAGCACAGGACTAACGGCAGTGGATGGCAGAGGGAAATCTGCTTGAGAAAAGGAAAGCACAAAGGGCCGGCCCGTGGCTCACTCGGGAGAGTGCGGTGCTGATAACACCAAGGCCACGGGTTCGGATCCTATATACGGATGGCCGGTTAGCTCACTGGGTGAGCGTGGTGCTGATAGCACCAAGTCAAGGGTTAAGATCCCCTTACCGGTCATCTTTAAAAAAAAAAAGAAAGAAAGAAAAGGAAAGCACAAGCACCACATTCACCACTTTCTGCCTGGGAGCATTTTTCCAGACCACAGCAGAGGGAAGGACAGCCCAAGCAGGAACTGACATTCTCACTGGGCATCAAAAACAGATTTAAAACAGCATTTAGCTGACCAGAATTTGTGGGACAGAGGACTAGAGAGGAAGGAGCCATAGAAAAGTCTCGGAAATCTAGGGGTTCACCTCATGTCCTTGACTGAATCCTGAGCTGTCCATGTGCAGGGTAAGTTCTAGGAGGCCTTGAAGAGAAGCCAGCCCAGTCAGAGGGGATAGACCTCAGTAAACACCCTGAGCACTCACCTGAGACTCTAGAAAGTCTGAGCCTTAGGAGAAAGGATTTTGCCCAAGAATACAGGCCAAACTGAAATATACCAATCCTAACAAAGAAAACCAACCTTTCACAGAATAAAAAGATCTGCTAGTAATTTAATTTTTGCTAGAACAAAATTCAACACTACTCTATGGACAATAACATAATATAAAGTCTCTACAATATAACATCTACAATGTCCAACATACAATTAAAAGAAATTACTATATTTGTAAAGAAGCCTGAAGATTTTACCCACAATCAAGGGGCTAAATGTTAATAGAAGCAGATCCACAAATGACCCAGATATTGGAATCAGCAGAAAATTATGTCATAATAACTATTGTAGATATGTTAAAGAATCTAGAAGAAGAAACAAAATGAGTGAAAAGATAGAAGATTTCAGCAGTGAAATGGGGAAAAAGAACCAAATGGAAGTTGAAAAATATACTATCTAACAAAAAATTCATTAGATGGGCTTAACAGCAGATTGGACATAGCAGCAGCAAAGATTAGATAGGTCAATTTGGAAGAGTGGAAACGCGTGTGCCCATACATATACTGAGATCAGTTAGCAAGGTTGTGTGAATGTCTTCAGCGGCTCAGAGGGCAGATTCAGAATAGGCAGAGGGCCGGGGTTCAGCTAGGATTGGGGTTTTGCAAGATACAACCTAGTGAGTAAAGGACAAGGGAGTTAAGGATGTTTGCACTAAGGTAGTTTAGACTATCTAAGCTAAGCAGGGAAGTGAGGAAATACAGAGGTACTGAATAGTGAAAAAATGGTGGGGATGGTGGATTTAGAGTCCCAATGTGTGCCAATGTATCAATTGGTGGACTGGGGGTTTTAGAATCTTGCTACTCAGAATGTGGTCCCAGGACCAGCAGTACAAGCCCCATCCAGAGCTGTGCAAATTCTCAGCCCCACCCTAAACATACTGAGTCAGAATCTCTGGGGGTGGAGCTCAGCAAGCTGTCAGTTAGTTCTGATGCTTGTTGAAGTTTGAGAACCACTCTTCTAGAGTAAAAGAGGGGCAAAGACTGGGGGCGGGCACAGAGTAGAATGCTTGAAATGGATATTTTGGAGATACTCCATTATTAGCATTGACGAGGTCTTAAATATAGCTAGAGGAATGAGAAACTGACCAAGTGGAAGAAAAGATCAATAAAGATACAACGAGTCTAGGAAGTAAGTGGCCAGACTCTTGGATGGATGATCCACAGGGACTGAATCTGTGTGATAAGAGAGAAAGAGAGCTGGAAGATGAAGCTTTCAGTGAAGGCATGACACGGTGCCCAGTTGACTGCAACCAGGAAGGCCAGTACGTAGTGTAATCTGACAGTTCACCCTTCCAAAGAGCTGGGGTTTAGAGAGAAAGGAAGAGAAATAGTTTGGAACTGGCAAGGGGAGCCATCTCTGACAGTCTTATTGTGGTAATTCCAACCCATCTCTCCACGCCCATCTCCAACTTCTCCCGCTTTGTGACTGACCTCGTTCAATGCCTGCTGATACATATTCTCTCCTTGTTCTTGCTGACAGAACCCCAAGTTTAGCAACAATGTGCCTGTTTTTAAAAACTACATCTCCCAGCCTCTTTGCATATAAGGCCATGAGTTGCAGTTCTATCCCATGAAACAGAAGCAGAATTGTGGTCCTCTGAGAATGTGCCTTTTAAGAGGACACAGGGCCCTTTTACCCTATGCTCCTCCTCATTTTCCTGCCTGGATAACATCATCATGGAGTTCCCATACCAACCTTAGGCTTCCTACCTCCTGATTTCTTCTACAGGAAAGAAAAACAAATAGCTAACTTGTTTAAGCCACTGTTGTTCAGATTTCCTTGTGTGTGCAACCAAGTCAATTCTTACCACTTCAGGCTATGAAATGGGATCCTTTGCTCCTGGTTCACCTCTTTGTACTGAGAATGGGCTCATCTTTTCTAGGGGAAGCTCCTGGGGGTTAGTTATGGGCCTTCCCTTTTCTGCCTGCAGAGGCAGCCGGCACCATGCACTGCCCCCACCTTTAACTCCCCCTTCCCCATACCTCATATTTGGCAATATCTATCTTCCTTCGAGGAAGGACCCAATTCTATTCACCTTTATCTTATACCTCATATAGAACAAGGCTGTGTAAACAACAGACATTCTATTAATGTTTGCTACATTAAACAAGCAAAAACCTGAATTTCAATATTCCAGGTTCAAAAAGCCCTCACTGAATTACCTCATGACCGTTTTTATTTTCGCCAAGAACAGTCTTCTTTTTTAAAGTCCCAAGTTAGGGCTGGCCGGTTAGCTCAGTTGGTTAGAGTGTGCTGTTGTTTTTTTTTTTGTTGTTCCTCAATATTATCTCATTTGATCTACATCATCTTCTCCTTAGATAGGAATTATTACTAACCCCATTTTAGAGGTGAGAAAAGTGATTGACAGCGTTAATAACGAGGCAGAAGTCATGAACTCTAAGAAGTAAAATAGAATTAAAATCCATAAGTATGTAATTCCACACTTCCTACCCTAACTATCAGGCTTTACAGAAAAAGCAGACAAGAAATACATGTAAACAATCATAATACCACCCACCCACAAATTACCGTTGCTAACATTTGTTAGTTTGTCAGCACCACGCTCACCCAGTGAGTGAACCGGCCATCCCTATGTGGGATCCGAACCCGGGGCCTTGGTGTTATCAGCACCGCACTCTCCCGAGTGAGCCACAGGCCGGCCCCAGAGTGTGCTGTTGTAACTCCAAGGTCAAGGGTTCGGATCCCTGTACCAGCCAGCCACAAAAAAAAAAAAAATCCAAGTTTTCTGCACCCAACCTTGCTTCTGACTATTAAAGGTCATAAAATTTCCCTAATTTCATCCAAGCCCCTACGTTCTCAACAGTAAGACTGGACAGAAGGAAGATGAAAGAACTAAAAGCAAAGTCTGCCAAGTTCTGAAGAGCGAACACAAAGCTACCCAGAGCACGCAGAGGTCAGAAGAATTACCAACATCTCCTGGGGCCACTTGGCCCAGCCAGGGATCTTTTTAGGAAGCCTTTTGCTTGTATTCACAATTTTCATTTGTGGAAGAGCTTGCCATTCAGCTCCTGGATCTGCACGGAGCCCAGATCTACAAATGCAAAGCTGGAAAGGATGGAGGGACGGGACAGCTCTGAGCACGTCTCAAGAAAAGACCAGAGCTGCAGGGCGGGCACCAGGCCTGAGCCGGGGGAATAGCCTCCTCTTCCTCTTCTGCAGCAACAGAAGAGGAGCCATTCCAAATGCACAAACCAAAATTATGTCCAGACATGGGACTGGGCTGGGCTATTGAGAGACTGCCGTGGGCCTCTGGGGACCAGAAGAAATGAGCTGGCTCTATTCCTATGTACTGTATGTCTGCAGCTTTGGTTTCTTTAATGCTACTGCCCCCAAAAGTTCAAAGCACTTTTACTTCTTTGAAAATAAGAAAGAGAAAATATAAACAGGCCCAGTTTTCAGGGGCAACTACAGCTGAGGGTGGTACAGTAACTTACCTCAAGTCAGAAAACAGAGCAAGGACGTGCCAAAAATAAACCCAGGTCTCTGGACTTCTAAGCCAGAGCTGCATTGACAAGACAGTATTAGCTGCCAAGTCAGAGGGTTAAATATGGAAAGGGGGTTTCCCAGATATCACTCTGCCAGATCACACTGGGTGTGGACTCGGGAGTTGTTAGGCTAGTCTATAACATCAGTGCCTCAGCAAAATAGACAAAGAGGAAAGGAGTTGCTTCCCAGAGAAAACAAAGGAACAGTCATTACCATTTGCAGCCATTCTGGATTTTGTGGATATGGACAGGGTTGAAGTCCTTTAGAAGGCCCAGAACTTCCCCCTACAATGGCAGGGTTTAAAAGAGAAAGAGACTGGAGACATAACTTACAACCAGTTCCCAAGGTTTTAGATCCCCAACCAGCTAACCTGTACCTAATTGAACACAGACTTAATGAGAATCTATAATGTGCTATATGTGCCAGGTTTTGTGACAGATGAGAAAGATATAAGCCCTGCCTTCAACGATACTCAATAACTGAGTGAGGAGACAGACATGACAACCAAGTACACAGGCCATTCCATCACAGGAAGTACAGACAGCTACAGGAGCACACAGTATGGGTATGTAACTCAGAAATAATTAGAGGGAAAGGAGGTGGTCAGGGTGGGCTCCCAGGAGGAAGTGACTTCCACACCTTTGCAAGTCTCCCCTCCCCACTGTTTCTCAACTGTAGCCTGACCTCCACTGCCCGGAGATATGGTCACCTTGCCCCATCCCAGACATTTCTGCACACCTGTTCCCAATTCCTCTCCCTGGGCCACCCCCCTCACCCCAGTCCCACTCCTTCACAACCCACTCCCCTGGCTTGGGTCTCTCTGTCTCCACACAGGCACCACCCTCCCCTGCTTTGAGATAATGTCTACACCACCCTGATGCCCTTTTGAGCTACACCCTATTTTTTCTCTTTTGTGCCAACCTTGTAGAAAGAGCTGTCTCCACCTAATGCCTCCGTTTCCTCCCCGCCCACTCCCTCCTGACTGCCTGCAGTTTGGCTTCTGTTCCTGAAGGTCACAGACATGCGCCTGCTGCCTACTGGGATGGCTTCTCTTCAGGCCCTGGCTCTTTCAACTCCTACCTGCACCCATTTACACTTCCTCCTTCCTTAGCATCCCCATCAGCACATTACCGTTGTAAAATTTCACAACCGTGATGAAAATTAATTTTTCCCTGGAAAACTCTATTTTGGAAAGATGCATATTTACACCACCTTCTTCTAAAAGCAGCTTTTACCAATCTGAAGTCACTTTGTTGGCTTTGGAAAATAGAAATGCATTACGTACTACTCATTTTTCTCAGTCTTCATGTTCACATTATATTTAAATTCAAATTTTCTCATTTGTTTTACTTTTAAATATTTAAAATATCTATGTGTTTATTACACATGAATCTACTAGATGCTGAGCAACAAGCAATTTGTGAGAACAAGCAATACGTACTTAACGCTTCCAGATTATGAAACACATTCATGTGCTTTATTCCATTTGGTCTTCATAAACACCCTGTGAAGTACACATTACTGTCCTCGTCACACAGAGGCGTAAAAGAAGGATCAGCGAACTTAAGTGACTTCCCTAAAATTACACAGCCAGTTTAGAGTTAGGATTTGAATTCAGGGCTTCTAACTTCAAATCCTACATTCTTTTCATTATATCATGAAAACCACAGCTTTCTTCTCAGGTTTTAACATTATTAAAATAGACAACTATAATGGATATGCTAATGATGTAAAAAAGAAAAAAATGGAAACTGTGTAATAATTTTGTATCTTCTTTTTTTTTTTTTTAAAGATGTCCGGTAAGGGGATCTTAACCCTTGACTTGGTGTTGTCAGCACCACGCTCACCCAGTGAGCGAACCGGCCATCCCTATATAGGATCCGAACCCGTGGCCTTGGTGTTATCAGCACCGCACTCTCCCGAGTGAGCCACAGGCCGGCCCTATAATTTTGTATCTTCTATAGCAGGCATCAGGAAACCATAGCCTTGGGTCAAAGCCAGCCCACCACCATTTTTGTAAATAAAGTTTTATTGAAACTTTGCTTACAGCCATGCACATTCACTTATTGTCTATCACTGCTGTCATGCTACGATGGCACAGTTGACTATCTGCAACAGAAGCATATGGCCTTCAAAGCATAAAATATTTACTATCTAACCCTTTACAGAAAAAGTTTGCCAACCATTGTTCTATAACAATGGCTCTCAATTCTGACTACAGATGAGACTCAGCTGGAGAGTTGTTTTGTTTTGTTTTGTTTTTTTCCTTTTTTAACTACCAGTGCAATACCTAGCCCACCCCAGATGAACAAACTTGGAATCTCTGGGGGTAGAAATAAAGCATCAATATTTTTCCAAAAGTTCTCCAGATGATTTTAACATGCAGCCACAGCCAAAAACCACTTTCCATGGTATCAAGCAGATTCAGGAAGCACTAGTTTTCAGAAAATGTGCTTGAGGATGAGAGGAGAGAAGAATCTCCCTCCTCCTTGCCGAGTATACACACATGAATACCAAAAATACCTGCCAGCACCTTTTCATCCACGGAATTTGAACCCGTGTGTCAGTGAGGAAAGTCCATCAGCAGACACTGGTACTGTTGATAGTTATCATGAGGAATTCCTAGTATCTGAAGGCGTGCCCTAATTGTGACATTTTTTTCTGCCCCTTAATAGTTTAATTGATTTTTTTTAATTTTCATGGATTATAGATTTGACGGGAGGCTTGGTACATTGAGCTAAAATTAAAATTGCCTGGTGTCCTGAAGGGATTAAAATGAGATTTTACATCTCATTTTAAATAATGAAAATAACTTATTAGAATCTTTTAAATTATGAAAACATTAAATGTTTATTGTAGAAATATTTTTAAAAATACAGATAAGCAAAATAGAAGGATCACCCTTAATCCTACCACCAAAACATGAGCACGGCACATCTGCTAGAAAGACCATGGGATCATCCTATCTATACCTTCTGTTTCATAACCGATTTCACTTAATATACCTCTTTCAATCATTTATCACCAACCACACCATGTAAGGGATCTACAGCCTACTATTAATTATGACACCAGCATTTATGGACCACTGATTTTGTGTCAGACAGGTAGGAGGTTACTGGTATCACCTATGTGCTAAATAATTTCATGCTCATCATACTGGCAACAATTTAGCAGCTGGACAACACCAAGTGTTGGTGAGGACAGAAGAAACCTTATGCTGCTGGTGGGAGTGCACGTCATCCCCCTCCTGGTCAAGCTGTGTGCATGGGTGGCCCTGAGGTACCACATCTAGGTACAGGCCCTGGAGACACTCACACATGTGCACATAGACAGGTGTACAAACCGGTTCACTGAAGCTCTGTTGGAGGTAGCAAAAGCTGGAAAAGTGTTAGTTTGAACCATGTAAAATTAATGTTTTTGCAGATTAAAAAACATGGTCCAATATCAGCAATTTCATGTGGTATAAGCTAAGCACTAGAATGAGTAGGGTGAGTATTGGCAGGTACGCTCGCTGTGGTTGATATGTACAAAGGAATATTATACGATAGCGAAAACTACAAACTGGAGCTGTATGTACCAACAGGGATATGTTCTTAAAAATACATGGAATGATGAAAGCAAGCCACACACAAATGCACACAGAGAATAGAAAGGGACCAACAGCTACCTGCCCATCACCTCAGCTCCCTACCTCCTAGAGCACACCCTAGACCTTGTCATTACCAATGACCGCAGCTACCCCCAAATCACAGCTTTGAGCCCAGAACTCTCTGACCCTCTTCCATCTTTCCTGTTCACACCTTTAGTTCTCCAACTCCATTCTCCAGTGCCACGATCCTTCAGATTCTGCCCCTTTTCCCTATCCATTCCATCCTACCCCCACCCACAGTATCTCTGCTGTCCTCTGTACCCAGCTTAGATGCCAGGGCCTATCACTGCAGTCACTTCCTGTTCAAGAATTTTATGGCATTCCTACTACCTATTCCTCATCACCAGTCCCCCCCACACACAGCCTCCCTGCTTCTGGACTCATCCCTCTCCACGGAAGAGCTGTCCTTACACCAGATCCCTCTCTCAATTTCTCAAGGCCTCCGCAGCTAAATTGTCTCCTCTCTCCTGCACCAATTTCCCTCTCCACCAATTTCCCTCTCTACTGGACAAACATACAAACTAGCTCTAATATCTGCCATCTCAACACTTATACACACACAACACCTTTGATCCACCCTGTTTTCCTACTCTCCTTTATTACTAAAATCCTTGAAAAAGTCATCTACACTCACTTCCTCTCATCCTTTCATTCAACAAATATTTATCAGGTGCAGCAAACAGCAGACAAAACCCTTCCCCTCCTGGACTTATCTTCTTTGGGGAAGACAGATAGTCAACAAGAGGAATAAGTAATGTGCGTGGTAAGTTCAATAGTGGTAAGTGTTAAGGAGACTTATGAAGCAGGAGGGGACAGGAAGAGTGAGGGCTGCAATGTAGGGAGAACAGCCAGGGGGCCCTAAGGCAGGCTCAAGGTCTAGCGAGGCGGCCAGTGAGGCTGCAGCAGGGTGAGCCGGGGAGAGGGCGGAGGAGATGCGGACACAGGGAGCAGCTCAGGGAGGGCCTTGTGGGGAACCACTGGAGGTGTCTGAGTGGAGGGCTGCCAAGATCCGCTTGCCATCTTACAGGATCACTCCAGCTGCTGTGTTAAGATCAGGCTGAAGGGAAACAGGGCAGAAGCCACTGCAGTAATCCAGGGGAGAGATGACAGTGGCTCGAACCAGGGTGAGAGCAGCGGGTGTGATGGGAAGTGCTCAGATTCTGGCTATAGTTAACATTTTGTCATAAAAAAATTCCAAACATACATAGAAGTAGAGAGTACAATGAAACCTCACAAAACCGTCGCCAAGCTTCAACAGCCACCACCATTTTGCCATAACTGTTTCATCTCTCTTTCCACCCCTCATTCACTAGGATGTCTTAAAGCAAATCCCACGAATCATGTCATTTCACTCTCAAATACCATAATGTACTCCTCAAAAAACAATGTTTTCTTATAAAGACACAACACTATTATCAAACTAAGAAAACCAACAATAATTTCTTATTACCAATTAACAGGCATATTTCACCCACCATCTCAATAATATTTTTTCATGGTTGTTTTGTCCAAATCAGAATCAAAAGAAGGTTTATTTATTGTATTTGGTTATCATTTCTCTTAAGCTTCTGCTAAATCTCTTTAAATCTCTACCAGATCCCCTATCTTAATTTTTCCATGACTCTGACTTGT